ACAATCAGGAGTTCAAGCACCGAGTTTGTTGGTACCTGTAAACTTCCTTCTAGATAGTCACGTGATTACCCGAAAACACAAGGCGCTATATCTCGGAAACAAAAGCAGCACAAACGCTACTTACAGCGACACAAACCGGCACAACCGCAGCACTGACGACTGCGGTGAGTTTGGTCGTTCGCGCTGTCTGTAGGGGGCTACAGGAAGTTCACGGAGCAGACACTCACAGACACCTTATTTCAGCACCGCAAAACCCCCGCACCCGCCAGGACACGTGCCCTCTCGCGCTGGTAACGCTGTTCGCCCCGCTGTGCCCCTGCGTGTGCGTGGAAATGGGTGGGATGGACACGGGGGACGTGCAGGACACGAGGGGGCGCTGCTTCCGGGGGGGGTGGGTGGGCTCCTCCCACACATTCCCCACTGCAGTGCCGCCCCCTGCCGGCGGCCGCGCAGCAGCGCCTCGCCCGCTGGACTGAGCAGGAGCTCGGAGGGCGAGAGCGGAGTTTAGGGGTTCACGCCCCCACTGGGACACCAGGGATCTGTCATGACCTAGTGGTCAGGCCCCGTTTCACCCCACACACGCGATGTGAGGGCTCACTCTCAATCGGCCTACAGTGCGGCTCCTAACCCGTGATTATCTCTAATGTTTTTAGTTGCATTATCCTAAACAGTACTAAAAGACAGCACACCTACCCCCGGCCCCGTTGGGAAAGAGGAAACTCGGGGGATCAGACCGCACCCCCCGCGCGGGCCCGCCCGGCTGCGGGCGCACGTGCGCCTCCCTCGCCTCGGGCCGGCAGCGGCGCAGCCAGCGCGCGGTCCAGGCAGCCTGTGGGGAATTGCTGATTGGCTCCGTGCCCGGCCGCAAGCAGTCTAGTTCGCTCAGTTCTCACGACCTCAGCACCACACAGGCATCTCTGAACTATTAACACAGACACGCAGCCCATAGCAGCGCCGCAGAGACCGCAGGCTGCCAGCTAGCGTTTCAGTGACGTGTTGCATTCAGGAACTTGGATATTGTTCGCTGACAGCTTGCAGAGGCTGTATGTGAACCGGGTAGAGAGGAAAGATGCGTTTTAAAGAGCACTTCTTGTGGAGGGTGCAGTCACATACTACGGAGTATGGAATGTGCATGCCCAGTGACAATTGTTTCTCAGCATGACGGTTTTGAAAAAGTCCAGCAGCCGGTATAATATCTGATTCTGCACATCCTAGTCATATTTGGAGAGATAGATTAGTCGACGAGTCTCTAACCACGCGAGATTTTCAGAAAAGATAACTCTAGGGGTTGAGGCAGCACTAACAGCCTTCCGTCGAACATTTAGCCAAGAGGGCACAAAGTTAAAGATTGTATGTGGTCTTTTTTATTTACTTCATAACACGGTGTTAGCATATTGGACTTTTTGCTGTTTATTTCAGTGAGGAG